TAGGTTTCATCAAGTTAGGTTCTGAAACGAACCTAACCGGTTTTCAGAATGTCCTCAGGAACCTAACCGTAATTTTTCAGGAATTTTCAGTTACCGGTTTTTTGAAACCTAACCGGTTTTTTGAAACCTAACCGGTTTTTGTTAGGTTTCATCAAGTTAGGTTCTGAAACGAACCTAACCGGTTTTCAGAATGTCAAAAAACCGGTAACTGAAAATTCCTGAAAAATTACGGTTAGGTTCCTGAGGACATTCTGAAAACCGGTTAGGTTCGTTTCAGAACCTAACTTCATGAAACCTAACAAAAACCGGTTAGGTTTCAAAAAACCGGTAACTGAAAATTCCTGAAAAATTACGGTTAGGTTCCTGAGGACATTCTGAAAACCGGTTAGGTTCGTTTCAGAACCTTACTTAAAAAAACCTAAAATTATTCTGACGGAAACGGTTTTTGGGTGTTAACTCCAAAATTTTGTAGGGCCACCACCAACTTGAACCTGCTTGTTTTGTTCGTCTCGGCGAGCCCTATCCATAGACACCCCATTTGTAGGGATCCGACGTCATGAAATTCAAAAATTTGCCCTTCCACCCACCCATTTGTGTCTAGGCAGGTAGACTTTTTCGCTGGGCCAAATGTTAATTTTTCGGTAATCGATCGGTTTATGCAAGAATTATATTAGGGTGACTTATCAGTGTAATTGAGGTATTTTTAAGAGTCCTAGTGGACCAAGTTTTGACCAGTTTACGAATTTAACTGCGTTGAAATATTTACATTTATTTTGACCTCTTTCGGACACGACGCTGTTGCAACCGGCACCTGCAAGCCAAGAATGCGATGATAATGTATACTATTAGGCCAGTAGAATTAGATCTTAAGGCTTGGTATTTCTGCTAAAGTAGGTATTTCGCGCTGTCAAAATCTGCGCGCGCAATAATTCGCCGAAGACAGCGCGCCAAAGAGCTCTCGCGGCTACACAGTATAGAAATACGCAGTTGGTTAGGTTAGGTTGACTTCCTTCCGTTCAATCGTCACACTCACAGCACTTTCTAATACAAATCATATCCAAGTGATACAAATTAAAACAACTTTCAAAATTTTTCGGAATATATTTTAGAATCGAATAAATATAGAATATAACTGCCAAAGTAAACACGGTTCAAAGAGGCGTGGCGTCACCCGACCTTCCGGAAGTTCCGCGCCGGCTAAAAGAATTTCAAGATTACGTCACCCGACCTATCGGTAGATCCTCGGGAGCTTGAGCGATTGGAAAAACATTTTATGATCAGTTACTCGTAGTAGCGATTATTTAGAGCTTGGATAATAAATTATAGTTGTTGCAATTCACCACGCGTCCGTCCTCCGTAAGCGCCACCGCGCGACTGATTGAGATTGTCCAAGCCGTCATGGACGATTTTTTCCACATTTTTTAACATAGTAACTAAATAAGACGCAATATAAAAATTTCATCCGTTAAAAGCCCTCAAGTTATTTCTGAACTTTAGTTTAGTAAAAGATTTAGAATCTCAAATCGCTTATTTTAAAAATAAAACCATAAATAGAAAACGAATAGAGGTAACTTTGGGAATTTATTCTATCGAGTCAACTTCATCAAATCGTGTTTCCATCCGTTAATAGCCCTAGAAAATATCCTCAACTATGCCCAATAAAAATCTTAGCCTTTAATTTTACTGTTTAGTACCTCAAAAATGAAAAATGAAAACCTCATTTTCGCCATTTTCTCTGCTACCCGGCCTTAAATCGGTTGTTGCTTTTTAGTTGCCCATAAAGACTCCTAGGTTCCGGTTATACCGCGTAAAGGACTTTCCCTATCGAAAAGTGGTATGCATGACGGTTGAAGGGCACTTAATCCTGCATTGAATAAGACCAAATTCATATGTTTTGGACAAACCGTTCTCATGCTTATCTTCCACAAGGTGGAAAATGTACGTTTAATCATTAATAACCCTCTCTACGTCTAATAGCTCGTCACCCGCAGGCTCCCAAGTCTTATAAAGGGCCGCCTTAACCGGCGTATCCCTGTCAAGGCTTGCGAGTTGGATTCGCCTATCCTTGTTCTTCCCAGCCGATCCTTAACTGTGGTTGCTGCACCTCTTCCTTTCACTCTCCTGAACGAGTCTGTGTTATTTTGGAGTTTTTTCACAAGGAATTGCGTCCATAATTAGTGATACATGCATCAACGTGGAGTCTGAGATAATTTCTCCTGATTTTGGCACGAATCGGCACCTGTAACTTGATTCGCGACAGAAGTTCACTGAAGTCTATTTTACCATTTTAATTAAGTAGGTTATGGAGAAAGGTAAGATCGGCGACCTCTCTTCGCAGTTTTAATGGAAGTAGATGATGATGTTTACAGTCAGCCTCATAAGTCGTACCTACTATCCGGTGCTTGAAGTTTAAAAATCTAAGAAACTTATTCTGATTTTTTTCGATTTTATGTATGTAATAATCATATTGGGGATTCCACACTTGACATGCATTTCATGCTGGCTTCTAACCAGTGAACAATATAATATTTTTAGTGACTTCGCCATTTTAAAATTTTTCGTGAGTCTAATTACGAATCCAAGGGTTTTTGTGGCTTTAGAAGTTATTGAGTCAATATGCCTGACAAGAAGAAGCTTTTGCTTACAAAATAGGTACTTAGCAGCGGTCAAACGACAATCGACCGACGATCTGGTGAAGGTCGCGGGAGGTGCCTGGATGCGAGCGGCGCAGGAGTGGTCTTTGTGGAAATCCTTGGGGGAGGCCTTTGTCCAGCAGTGGACGTCTTTTGGCTGAAACGAACGAACGAAAATCTGCCTTATCTACCTTACCTACTTAGGTACGATCAAACATTTACTATTTTTTAATGAAAAAAAATGCATTGAAAACGCAAATTATTTTTATATTATTTATGTTGAAACGAAACTAGGTATTCACAATACCTACGCTGCACAAGAGCATGCAGGAAGCATCGTCGCCGTCCGCCTAACATAGCATAGTTCACAAAACTTCACAAAAAAGATTTTGTGTCACCGACCAACGGCCGCAAAACGGCCATAAGAAAACCTCTGTGAATGCACCGGTACTTTTTATGTACTCTTACCCCTTCTGTCATGATGACTGACGACGCTGACGGCAACAAAACATGACAGAACTCGCAATAGCAACAGCAAATAATAAATGATAAATTTTGCGTTTTGTAAGAGTGGTTCAATAGCTAGCGTGTGTGTAGCGCGTCGGTGGCGGCGCGAGAGCGGCGATGGCGCGCGCGCTTGGCGCGGCGCTGTTGTTCGTGTGCGCGGCGGCCGCCGCGAGCGGTACTGACCACTAGCGTCCACTGGCAGCCCGGGGCTCCGGGGCTCCGGGGCTCCGGGTCGCACTAAGCTAAGCTCGTCATCATTAAAACGGTCTGTTATCATTAAGTAATTGGTTTTATTTTTTTACACAGAGTTTGGTGTCGCAGCAGCAGAATCTCCAGATTCAAGTAGCGAGGAGGCGGACGTGGACGACGATGGTGAAGGAGACTTCGCACCATTCATGGTAGGAACTCAGGCTTACTTAATTATTACTCAACTTCTTCCTCTTCTTCTTCTTTCCGTGCCTCTTCCCATTATTTGGGGTCAGCCCTCCTCGTTCTCATGCGCCAGATCGCTCGATCCTGAGTTGTCTCTTCGTTCAGCTGGGCCTGTTTCAAATCCTTTGATATAGTGGACCTCCATGTAGCAAGCGGTCGGCCTCTGCCTCTCTTGCTGTCTGGTAGTGCGAGAGCTTTCTTGACGACATGATCTTCATCTCCTCTCATGACGTGTCCGTACCATCTCATGCGGGATTCTCTGCTCTTGTCAGTGATGGGGGCGACCTTATAGCTTCCTCTGATGTGTTCGTTGCGCACTTTATCGAGTCTCATTAAGCCGGCCGCCCACCTCAGCATCTTCATCTCACAGGTATGGAGTTTTTGTTCATGTGATTTATGGATCGCCCAACATTCGGCACCGTACACCATAGCTGGGCTTACAGCGGTCTTGTATACCTTTCCTTTAGTCTTTATCGGCATACGGTGGTCACACAGCACACCCGTAAGCGCTCTCCATCTCTGCCAAGCTATATTTACCCTGTGTGTCACGTCCATATCCACATTTGCGTCTGCGGACATGACCGAACCTAGGTACCTATTTGAAGTGGCTCGCTATTGGTACTGGGTCTATTGGCATTGTGGGTGCTGTCTTCTTAGTGGGGCTATAGTGACATGGCAGGTAGGTACTCTGTTTTGCTTCGACTAATCTTTAGACTTAATTAAGTATTACCACAGAATAAGTAATAGTACAGGTACAGAAGGATTACTCCGCAAGACGATTTAAATAAATGCGAGTCTTGCTACGACGCGATACAGTGGAATTCAGCTCGCACAGCACTACGTACCTACAATTTTATTCACCTACAAGTTTTGTCTCTTTCTATCGCGTGCCTCTGAACTCTTCTTACGCTGCTAGGGATGCTATGCTGTCTAGTGAAAAAATAGAATTAATCTACTTAGGTATTTGTAATGAGGTACGTATGTAGGTAAGTATTAGTGTTATTTTACCTTTGTAAAAATAACATTTTAAATATACCTACTTAGGATAAAAAAGTACTTATTTTAATACAATGTCTGCATTCATACCTATTTTAACATAAGACAAATAAATTAAACATACCTACTATCACAGAAGAAAGAATGACATCATACCTACCTACTTACTACGCAAACACGAAACGGCTACTACATCCTAGAACGAGAGGCATCACCCGAAAATCATATTTGTATTTGGCTTTGCACAAACTTAATCTAATGTTACTCGCTATACTTTGGCAACAATTTATTTTTTACTGAATATTGTTGGGGTACCTATGCATTATGGTAAAAGAACTAGCTTGTCGTAATTTGGTGTATCGATGTTACTCTTCCGTTTCATTTACCTACACGGAAAGGTAATATTTTAACGATAAAATTCTTAAAATATCATAAATTGTATTCAAAAGAAATTATTTATTAAAGGCAAAACATCAAGTCCCGACGTTCGCGCGCGTGACACTCGACTGATATAATACCCGCCGGCGGGGCGCTTCGCTGTAGGTAATTATCGGATGTACCGCGCGGAGTGAGCCAGGCCTGGTATTACTCAACCGAAAGCAAAAATTTTAGTAACGATAGAAAGTGACATGACTTAAGACACGATGTAAGAACGAAACCTAGCAAAAAGAACTGATACCCCTTAACGTATCTCGCAGATAGTGGTGGAGCACACGGACGGGTGGCGATGCTCGGGCTCGCTGGTGTCGCTGCGCACGGCGCTGACGTCGGCGTGGTGCGCGCGCGGGCGCGGCCCGCTGCCGGCGCGCGAGCTGTGGGCGCTGGCCGCCGCCGCCGCCGCGCCGCCGCCGTCCAGCCCCGCCGCCGTGGCCGCCCGCCTGCACGGCGCCCGTCGCGTCGCCCGCGTCGCCGTCGCCACCGGCGCCGACGCGGTGAGTCCGCGTAGATTTCCACCGGTTCGAAAGATCGAGCAGGGAGGAACGGAATATCTAACGAACCCGACCCGAACGTTCTGTCGCAGGAGGTGGGCGATGGCCCGGACACGGCGCCGGAGTCGTGGCGCGGCGGAGCGCTGGACTTGGCGGTGGCGGAGCTGGAGGAGCCGTTCGGCAGCGCGGCGCGCGCGCGGCCCATCCTCATGGCCACGGCGGGCGCAGAGTGCGCGGGCGGCGCGGCGTGTCACGTGTCGCGCGCGCTGCCGCCGCCCGCGCCGCGTCGCGCGCGCCTTCGCATCGTGAGCGCCGACGTGGTTCCACCCGAGCGCTGCGCGCGCGCCGCCGTCTACTGGACCGCCGTGCGCGATCGTGCTCTCTGTCTCGTCGGCCCCGAACTTTGTTCGGTATTAACGTTTTTTTTCTAATTTTTGCGTCTTCTTTTTTCCTATTTGGACCCGGTTTCCATTACGTCGCATCCGACTCCCGGTCGGATTCGACCGAGACTCAGAAGTTCTAGTGGTTTAAACACAGATTATTTTGTACGTAACCGAGTGTTTCCAAAATGAGGGTTTTCGCGTATGAAAGATCCGCTAGATGGCGGGACGTGGATGTGGGGTCTGACTGCTGCGTGTTTGGTGGATTTTGACATATCTGTCAATGTCATGTCAAAAAATAACCAATCATGCAGCATTTGGACCTCGCGTCTACGTATTGCCATCTGGCGGATTTTTCATACGCGAAAACCCTCATTGTCCAATCTTTCGCATAAAGGATGATGCACCCATTGTTTGTCTTTTACGTCTTCTTCTTAAAAACACCACTACAACACCACAGCAAACTCGTCTTCGTCTTTCATTCATCTACAACTACTTACTTGCCGATCACCGTCACAGTGTTCATTAAAATTTGACATGCATCTCCGACTTCGGCAGAGCGACTGGGGCGGGGGCGTGGTGTGCGGCGGCAAGCTGTGCGGCGTGCTGAGCCGCTCGGTGCGCTCGGCGCCGGCGCCGGGCGCGGGCGGCGCGGCGGCGAGCGAGGAGTGCGGCGACACGCATGCAGCGCAGAGCGTTTCGCTTTGGCGGCGATTTTTGCACTGCGCCCATACGTTACGTGCTTGTGGCCGGTATTGTATAGATTTGGAAATCTTTCAATGCAGTTCTTTCTTTTAAAAATAAGGAAAGTTTTCTTTTAGTAAAATTTTATATCTACAGTACTAACCAACTTCCACCTAACAATGGGTGACTCCGCGGAGCGATAGACTGTAGGTAGTAAAGCATGAAATAAACACGCTGCTATTCGAGAATAGTCGCTAAACGGGAATGTGAAAATTAAAATAAGTATTTAGGTATTGCTAGATCTAGTAGTACAAAACAAAAGACAGACCTCCACACTAGGCATTGCCTGCCTGTCCTGTGGAGGAAGGAATAAAAGGAAAAGGAATCAAAAATTAGGAAAGGGCATTAGGAATGAGTGGTGACTGTGTGCATATTGTGCTTGTGTGTAGATGTGTTGTTGTCCAAAGACCATTTAAGTAATTTTATTAAATAACCTAAGTAACTTTTTTTTGTAGTTAAATAAGGTAGTTTTACAGTTAAACGAACATCTCACAACGTGTCCCTCAGCGGCGGCGACTGCGCAGACCTGTGCGTGGAGCGGCGGCTGGTGGAGGAGCCGGAGCCGCCGGCCTCGGAGCCGCCAGCGCCGCCGCCGCAGCCCACGCGTCCCCGGAAGCCCACCGTCACCACCATCACCACCACGCCTAGCGTCTTTTGTACTGTTTTTGATTATTTCTTCATTCGTTTCCATCAGGTCCGTAACAAATCTGATTTCACACGTCATCGCGTCGTCCACAGACTACCCCACCCACACGGAGATGCTGCGCGCCTCGCCGCGCGCGCGCCCCAGCCCCACGCGCGCGCCTCCCACGCGCTCGGCCGCGCCCGCCGCGCGCTCGCCCCCGCCCCCGCCGCCCGCGCCGCTCCCGGAGCCCGCCGACGACGCCGCGACGCCGTCCCCGAGGCCCTCGTTCGAATTTGAACCCAATCGAGCAGACTTCAAGGTAAAACAAATTATATATTTTTAAGTTTAACACCTATTTTTACGGGTTTCCTTTAGATTCCAGATGAGGTAGAGGTTAAGTCATTGTAAAACCCCTTCACTTCGGTAATGGAACGAACGATTCCAGCGAATATTCGTAGGAAAATTAGTACCTACTTACTTAAGTAACATGGAATATCTACTCACTAATCGCCTAGCCCTAGCGGAAAGGGATAACCACAGATCACAGAGAAACTAAAGAAAGATGTGACAAGGGGACGGGGCCCAAAAACAGAACACATTGCTCGTGAAAGCAATGATTGTGTGAATAATTTCTAATGCGACACTGAGGTTCGAACTCAGCGCATTATTTGGCATCTCTCTATATCCCTACCTATGGTGAAAACCTTTCATTTATAACATAGATAGGTTATTATCTCTACTGTCACGAGCAATGAAAAAAGCAGTTTAATGTAACTGTTTTCGTTTCATCGCTGGTGAGCGGCGGGCGCGCGGCGGACGCCTCCCGGCGCCCCCCGCGGCGCCTTAGTGCCGCGAACGGTGGTTCTAGGCGGCCCACGCGTCGTCCCCGTCGCGATCTACTCGGGCGTACTTGAAGGCGGGCGAGTACGGCGACAACGCGGCCGACTACGGCGGGGAGGAGCCGGCCGCGCCGCCCGCCGAGCGCCGCGCCGCCGGCCGCCAGCCCGACGCGCCCGCCGCCCGCGGCCCGAGCCTCCGTTCGTTGCCACTTTTGATACTCGTTCCTTTTGTTTATGTTTTAATAGATATCTAATAAACACTTCACGTAGCGATTTCGGACGTTTCATTGAAATATTTCTATTTAACATAGAAAAATGTGTCCCTTTTTACTTTTTTAAATTCACTCTTAAATAAGTACTTACTCAGTCTAAAAGTATTAACACAGATAAGTAATTACTAGGTATGGAAAACACGCGCGGCACTTCACACTGACATGACAACGCGTCCGTGCGCGTGATTTTTTATATGAAATTACGCGCTCCGCGGCGGAGCGCGGCGCAGTATGATAACCGCCTTAGCCTTAGTCAGTTTCTCCTTTTATACACAGTGTGAGTCAGGATAAAGTGCACATATGAAAATAGGTGAAACTAGACCTATTTTTATCGACAAAAAAGAGGCCAAAAATTTATTGTTTTTTTTTTTTTTTAATTATATAAATTCTTTTTGTATGATTACTTATTGTAAAGAAAACGTAATAACTTTTAAACTAAAAGGTTTATCCTGATAAAATAAAAACAGTAATAATGCTAAATAACAGGCAATACTAAAAAATACATAAAATACTCAAAAAATGCCAACAAATAATAAAAAAATGAAACTTTTTGAAAAGAATCTGCTTTTTTATTCGTGATTTTTTTGTTATTTGATAAATTTCTCCAAAAAATGCCCCCATAACAGGAGGTTTTTATTACATTGTATTATTCTCTATCGTATTATCTTTGTGTTATGTAGTTGCCTATTAACACCGCTAAGTGCGTGGCTGCGCCTACCATTGACGGCCTGTCGTTAAAATAAGCGGTCGGTAAAATAGTCAATCTAATGTCAGACAATATATGTCAGTGCGAATAATTGGAAAAGCGTGTTATTTATTTCTCCTATTCCCAATACACAACAGTGGCGACGAAACCCACAATTTTAAAAGGAAATGGCCAATNATATTTGTATTTGGCTTTGCACAAACTTAATCTAATGTTACTCGCTATACTTTGGCAACAATTTATTTTTTACTGAATATTGTTGGGGTACCTATGCATTATGGTAAAAGAACTAGCTTGTCGTAATTTGGTGTATCGATGTTACTCTTCCGTTTCATTTACCTACACGGAAAGGTAATATTTTAACGATAAAATTCTTAAAATATCATAAATTGTATTCAAAAGAAATTATTTATTAAAGGCAAAACATCAAGTCCCGACGTTCGCGCGCGTGACACTCGACTGATATAATACCCGCCGGCGGGGCGCTTCGCTGTAGGTAATTATCGGATGTACCGCGCGGAGTGAGCCAGGCCTGGTATTACTCAACCGAAAGCAAAAATTTTAGTAACGATAGAAAGTGACATGACTTAAGACACGATGTAAGAACGAAACCTAGCAAAAAGAACTGATACCCCTTAACGTATCTCGCAGATAGTGGTGGAGCACACGGACGGGTGGCGATGCTCGGGCTCGCTGGTGTCGCTGCGCACGGCGCTGACGTCGGCGTGGTGCGCGCGCGGGCGCGGCCCGCTGCCGGCGCGCGAGCTGTGGGCGCTGGCCGCCGCCGCCGCCGCGCCGCCGCCGTCCAGCCCCGCCGCCGTGGCCGCCCGCCTGCACGGCGCCCGTCGCGTCGCCCGCGTCGCCGTCGCCACCGGCGCCGACGCGGTGAGTCCGCGTAGATTTCCACCGGTTCGAAAGATCGAGCAGGGAGGAACGGAATATCTAACGAACCCGACCCGAACGTTCTGTCGCAGGAGGTGGGCGATGGCCCGGACACGGCGCCGGAGTCGTGGCGCGGCGGAGCGCTGGACTTGGCGGTGGCGGAGCTGGAGGAGCCGTTCGGCAGCGCGGCGCGCGCGCGGCCCATCCTCATGGCCACGGCGGGCGCAGAGTGCGCGGGCGGCGCGGCGTGTCACGTGTCGCGCGCGCTGCCGCCGCCCGCGCCGCGTCGCGCGCGCCTTCGCATCGTGAGCGCCGACGTGGTTCCACCCGAGCGCTGCGCGCGCGCCGCCGTCTACTGGACCGCCGTGCGCGATCGTGCTCTCTGTCTCGTCGGCCCCGAACTTTGTTCGGTATTAACGTTTTTTTTCTAATTTTTGCGTCTTCTTTTTTCCTATTTGGACCCGGTTTCCATTACGTCGCATCCGACTCCCGGTCGGATTCGACCGAGACTCAGAAGTTCTAGTGGTTTAAACACAGATTATTTTGTACGTAACCGAGTGTTTCCAAAATGAGGGTTTTCGCGTATGAAAGATCCGCTAGATGGCGGGACGTGGATGTGGGGTCTGACTGCTGCGTGTTTGGTGGATTTTGACATATCTGTCAATGTCATGTCAAAAAATAACCAATCATGCAGCATTTGGACCTCGCGTCTACGTATTGCCATCTGGCGGATTTTTCATACGCGAAAACCCTCATTGTCCAATCTTTCGCATAAAGGATGATGCACCCATTGTTTGTCTTTTACGTCTTCTTCTTAAAAACACCACTACAACACCACAGCAAACTCGTCTTCGTCTTTCATTCATCTACAACTACTTACTTGCCGATCACCGTCACAGTGTTCATTAAAATTTGACATGCATCTCCGACTTCGGCAGAGCGACTGGGGCGGGGGCGTGGTGTGCGGCGGCAAGCTGTGCGGCGTGCTGAGCCGCTCGGTGCGCTCGGCGCCGGCGCCGGGCGCGGGCGGCGCGGCGGCGAGCGAGGAGTGCGGCGACACGCATGCAGCGCAGAGCGTTTCGCTTTGGCGGCGATTTTTGCACTGCGCCCATACGTTACGTGCTTGTGGCCGGTATTGTATAGATTTGGAAATCTTTCAATGCAGTTCTTTCTTTTAAAAATAAGGAAAGTTTTCTTTTAGTAAAATTTTATATCTACAGTACTAACCAACTTCCACCTAACAATGGGTGACTCCGCGGAGCGATAGACTGTAGGTAGTAAAGCATGAAATAAACACGCTGCTATTCGAGAATAGTCGCTAAACGGGAATGTGAAAATTAAAATAAGTATTTAGGTATTGCTAGATCTAGTAGTACAAAACAAAAGACAGACCTCCACACTAGGCATTGCCTGCCTGTCCTGTGGAGGAAGGAATAAAAGGAAAAGGAATCAAAAATTAGGAAAGGGCATTAGGAATGAGTGGTGACTGTGTGCATATTGTGCTTGTGTGTAGATGTGTTGTTGTCCAAAGACCATTTAAGTAATTTTATTAAATAACCTAAGTAACTTTTTTTTGTAGTTAAATAAGGTAGTTTTACAGTTAAACGAACATCTCACAACGTGTCCCTCAGCGGCGGCGACTGCGCAGACCTGTGCGTGGAGCGGCGGCTGGTGGAGGAGCCGGAGCCGCCGGCCTCGGAGCCGCCAGCGCCGCCGCCGCAGCCCACGCGTCCCCGGAAGCCCACCGTCACCACCATCACCACCACGCCTAGCGTCTTTTGTACTGTTTTTGATTATTTCTTCATTCGTTTCCATCAGGTCCGTAACAAATCTGATTTCACACGTCATCGCGTCGTCCACAGACTACCCCACCCACACGGAGATGCTGCGCGCCTCGCCGCGCGCGCGCCCCAGCCCCACGCGCGCGCCTCCCACGCGCTCGGCCGCGCCCGCCGCGCGCTCGCCCCCGCCCCCGCCGCCCGCGCCGCTCCCGGAGCCCGCCGACGACGCCGCGACGCCGTCCCCGAGGCCCTCGTTCGAATTTGAACCCAATCGAGCAGACTTCAAGGTAAAACAAATTATATATTTTTAAGTTTAACACCTATTTTTACGGGTTTCNTCCCACGCGCTCGGCCGCGCCCGCCGCGCGCTCGCCCCCGCCCCCGCCGCCCGCGCCGCTCCCGGAGCCCGCCGACGACGCCGCGACGCCGTCCCCGAGGCCCTCGTTCGAATTTGAACCCAATCGAGCAGACTTCAAGGTAAAACAAATTATATATTTTTAAGTTTAACACCTATTTTTACGGGTTTCCTTTAGATTCCAGATGAGGTAGAGGTTAAGTCATTGTAAAACCCCTTCACTTCGGTAATGGAACGAACGATTCCAGCGAATATTCGTAGGAAAATTAGTACCTACTTACTTAAGTAACATGGAATATCTACTCACTAATCGCCTAGCCCTAGCGGAAAGGGATAACCACAGATCACAGAGAAACTAAAGAAAGATGTGACAAGGGGACGGGGCCCAAAAACAGAACACATTGCTCGTGAAAGCAATGATTGTGTGAATAATTTCTAATGCGACACTGAGGTTCGAACTCAGCGCATTATTTGGCATCTCTCTATATCCCTACCTATGGTGAAAACCTTTCATTTATAACATAGATAGGTTATTATCTCTACTGTCACGAGCAATGAAAAAAGCAGTTTAATGTAACTGTTTTCGTTTCATCGCTGGTGAGCGGCGGGCGCGCGGCGGACGCCTCCCGGCGCCCCCCGCGGCGCCTTAGTGCCGCGAACGGTGGTTCTAGGCGGCCCACGCGTCGTCCCCGTCGCGATCTACTCGGGCGTACTTGAAGGCGGGCGAGTACGGCGACAACGCGGCCGACTACGGCGGGGAGGAGCCGGCGCCGGCGCCC